CCCCTGGGTCTGATGCCGTCCTCAGCTGAAGCGGGGTGGGGTGCCACACAGACACATTATCCGGCGATGAACATCAATATGCCATGTTGTCACTTGATCTCTCAGAGGCAGCTTCCCTCACGAGTAAGCCTGGAAACTCACACTCTTCTTTTCCAAGACCCCTCACCCAAGTGTTTATCTCTGCAGCGCTGGCAAACCTCTGAAGCCAAGGAACCCAAGAATTGCTGTTGGGAATTCATGAAAGCTGTCCCAGCACCGTGGAGCGGAGCAGAGGTGCCCAAGCTACCTTTAGATGAGATAACTGGGGTATAGTAGCAGTCTTTCTGCCGCAGGATGGAGCTCAGTGCAGGCTGCAAAGCATTTCTAGGAAGCTGGATAAATACTCAAGCATCTCTCTGTCACTGATGTCCATACTGCTGTTTCTTGATTGCTATCAGCACCCATGCTGGCGGCTCAAAGAACCTCATTTAGGTAGGTCTGAATCCCATTGCAGAGCCTGCACCATCAATATGCCTCCAGGTACATAAATTCCAAAGTGACTGAAAAAAATCACATAGGTGAAGGTCTTGATCATGTCTGAAAAAATACAATACAAAAAAAGTGGGGGGAAAAAAGAGCCAGCTTTTGTAAAAAGTGAGCATGTGAACTCTGTGGCTTCGATTTTGTCCCACTTACTCTGTTCACCATCTCTACAAAGTGTTTCTCACACAGAAGTATATTTTTAACAACACTGAAAAGAACCTGCCAGAATTGGAAGCTCAAGCTACTTTTACCCTGGATAAATGGGACGCATTTGTCACATAAGAGGTTAAATGGCACAGGGAGGATTTTTTTTCTCTTGTTAAACCAAGTATGGCAAAATTAGTATTTATGGGGCTGATCTTTCTGACTGTGAAATCTCACTGAATATAAATATTTAACATGAGAAATCATCAGAGTTCTCCTTCTGCCTGAGTACAATGCACAACCAGCAACTGCTTTACTGAAGGAGTTAAAGTTTTCTGCAACAAATGCAACAAATCGCTCTATGCAACAAACAGCAGACACATTCTGTGGCAGTTTCCCCACAAACTTCAATCTATGGGGAAAAAAAATCTTGATTTATTATATAGCATTTGGACAGTTGCGAAAGAAAATTTGCCAAAGATCAGAATAATCAACTCTTTCACCCAAGCAGTTTTTTTATGGAAGAAAAAAGCACAGAATGGGTCTGAGCAAAATAAATAAAAATTCCACACTTTTAACCAACAGAACCTTTTGCGTCATTCAGAAATATTTACAGACATCCAGAATCTTTTATCATCAAAAAGACACTCTGGCCTTTAAAATTACAACTTTTTCTTACATTTTTGTTTACTGATGGCCTTTAAACTAGTGGGTATCCCTAACTTGTGGCATCTCTTCATGCCGTGTTTGTCAAATGTAGGGATTTTTAAAGCTGCGCCTTGCTATTTTTTCCCTTCCCTTGAAACATCTCTCTTTGGCTAAGCTATCATCTGTGAATTTTAAAGATAGCAGAACACCATCTACTAGCAGCATCCATCACATGAGTTATTGGCACTAGTGCATCAAACACCAGTTTCCATCGATTGAAAGGGCCGCTAATGCCAATATTAACCTGGAAAGGGCTAGCTGTTTTATACAATTAAATACAGCCAGGAAGGGGGCTGCAAATAGAAACATACATTAGCCATTCATAGTATACAAGTATACATATACAAGCCCCTCTCAGAGCCCAGTAAAGGTATGAGCACAGCATCCCTGTTCCACTTGCCTATTTAATTAGCACACAATGAAGGCCACTGAATTTCCCTGCAAAAGGTGTTGCGTACTTTGGACAAAAAAGAAAGGGAAAAAGAAGTTGCTTTTAAGTGCAATCCAAAAAAATAGCTCCTTGGCTAAATGGCACTTTTAATAAAGATGTTTCCAGTGTTTGTTTATTTATCAAAAAAAAGTGTTTCTCTCGGGTGTTTTGATTTTTGTTTCTGTGCACAAGAAGGAGGGGAAAAAAGGGCTTTACTAAGCAAGTCTTTCAGTAAGACACCAGATGATGGATAGTCAAACACAGAGTCTCCTGTAAACATAGACGGAACCAAAAGGTATGAACTGACTCATAATTGTGTCAACACAGGTCGCAGACCCTTGGTTTATTTCAGCCTTCCTGTTTTTCACAGATTTCTTTTCACACTACACTATTTTTTTTAAGACACAGACTCTTTTCAGTACACCTTAGTGGGGTGCAAAAGCACACACGTTTTTACACCAAGATGTGGGCATCTACACGCATATGTAGGCTGTATTGCCACAATTACAACAGCAGCATTTTCCACCCATGGCTTAACGGCTGCATTAAGCTAAGCCATGCCTTTCTTCACAGCAGTCCATGCCCGCTCTAAATCAAAAGGTCCATCCCATCCCTGCCTCCAGCTTTTCCATGGAGGCTCTTGGGAAGCATCCAGAAAAGAGGAGTACAACAAAACCTCAACAGCCTAGTCCTCCAGTTCATGCAACCCTCTAAGACTCAGTGCGATATTTTTTAACATGTGCCAAAGTGGCAAGACTGTGTCTGACCAAAAGTGCTGGGAGGCTGACACACAGCAAAGAGGTCTATGATGAGCAGAACCTACCCGTATTTGTCTTGATCTCTAAACACGTTGAATTGAGGCTGTAGCCTTTTCCTTGTATAAAGTTGTTCTTCTCTGCTGGTTGCCTATTTCCATAGAGATCAGAGGAAAAAGCCTCTCTGGGGTCTCTATTTCATTATCAAATTTGATTGGCACTGACCAGTGGGCTAAGAAGTTGTTAGAGGAGGGACTGATGGGCAGACGCACTGAGCAGTTGGATCCCCTGCAAATCATAGTACATTCCCTCACAAAATCACTTGCGGAGACACCTTGTCGCCTGTAATCTTGAGATCCTTTTAGAGGACTTGCAGAAAATAACAAATGAAGATGGGTTAAAGTCAAGGGAGTTGCTCTTTCTCAGCAGAGACAATAAAAGAAGCAGTTTAAGGCCAGACTGCAATGACCTGTACTTGTCCCTGGATGTCCACGAGCCACACAGAGCCCAGTGCATTGGATCTGCACGTGCAAGGATCCATCCTGAGCACCTCAGATCAACCACACGTGCAAACAACTTAATGCTATAGACCCATAGAGTCTGGCTCATCCAAGATGTGTCGGATCCCCTGTATGAGCAAGGAGAAGTTTATAAACAGTGACTGTTTGTCTGGGATGTTTCAACCTCAGCTAGATTAACTGAAAAATGGTAGAGCCAGCAAGGACAGATGACCTTACTCAGGCTGAGCAGTGCCTCATTCCTGCTGTAATCACATCCAGCTAAGCGGGAAGGCTACTCAATAAAAATCAGTCACAGAACAAGGATTTGGACCTTATTTTGCATTGTGTAAAAGTCAGTTGCTAAAATTCCCAGTCAACAGGTAATCTTTGCACTGAAGCCAAATCCACCAAGAGCACAAGGGCTCTTGCCCTGTTACTTCACCAATTCATTCACAAAAAAAATGCAAAACTAATCATATTTAGGACAAAGCTGACACCAAAAAAATGCCAGAAACAGCATTTCATAAACAGTAATCACTGGCAGACTTAATTTTTTTAAGACCACTCATTTTAGGATATTACACCTTCGTAAAGAGCAAGCATTTTATCTGGTGCCATTTTCCCCTGTAGGAACCAAGGTTGATGGAACAACAGAGAGAATTCCCTATGCAAATTACAATATATTAAGTTGGATTTGCTTCCAGCAGGTTCTGTACCTTCAGAAATTTTTCCAGGGTTTGTGTGTCTGTCGAGTGGCCATAAACTGGGAAAACCTACGCTCTGCTCTCCTGCCTCCCCCTCCTTTCTTTACCTCCTTTTAGCTCTACAGCAGTAGATGAGGGAAGCAAAGTTTACTGGAGACCATGAAAAGAGTTTCAAAACATTCCACATATTTTCTCTGCAAAAACACGCTGTGAATTTTGAATGTATATAGTGCCAGGGCACTGTCACTCAGACCCCAGGAGTTCACCCAAGTTAGACAAATTATGCTGCCTGTTATCTCAGTTGTTACAGTTTCTTGCCTTTCATTCATTTGCTGCCAGTGGCTGGATTTTATGTCAGTATAGCAGAGAAAAGGAGCCTCAGTTGCTGAAGTTAACCTCTTGTGGTGAGATCAGTAATACTGGGCTTTCCAGTGGAGAATTCACAAGGAGATAGCTGCTAGCCTTGTTTGCCAAGGCAGCAGTCAAAAGAACGCTGAATTTTGGCAGGTATGAGCAGGAGAAATGCTGTGTTATGGAAATGGCCACTGCAGGCTCCCTTCCAAATCTGCAGTTTTGACCCACATCAATAAAACAAAGTAATTTAAAAAAAATTTTTACATGTCCTATAAAAAACTACATAAAGTAGTGTTGTGGTTTGAATAGAGGATGGTACTGCTGAGCAAACCTGCCTGGCAGAGGGCAGTGGCTGCCACTTCAAACATCATAACCAGAGTATAATTAATATTAACCTTCAATTACATCAGCAATCTCTCTGCTTTCATCAAGTCTCATTTCCTCCCTGATAAAGAGCTAGTTATTACAAGGGAATGCAGGACATGATGAGGGGATTCATTTCTGAATGTCCTTTTACAGCCACGTTGGCTCTGGTAGGTACCAAGTCAAAGCATCTGTTCCATATGCCAGGTATTGTCCAACTGTAAAGTCCCTTTGGCTCCTAGAGCCTGTGTACGCGAAGGAAAGGGCCTGGCCGCTGCCAGCCCCAAGCCCTGCCTTGCAAGTGCATTAGGCCAGTCCCTCCTGCCTGATCCACAGTGCCTTGTTAGGAACCAGAAAATGTTGAGTTTGCATGGCAGCATCATGGGAGGTATATGCATTGTATGCCCATCTCTAAACTGATTCCATTTAATGATGAGTACCTTTAACGCCGTTCTGCTGAACCAGTTTTGATAGCACGTTTTATTTACGCAATTCTTCCAAAGATGGGAAAAGCTCTTACCTATTGTTCTTCGGAGATCTTCACACTGGCTAATGTGAGGGAATTTCAAGATTTCCTTCCACTTTTTGCTTTTGCCTTTGCGTTTCCCTCCACCCCCTGCAGAGAAAGAAATATCAAGATTAGATTGCTTTGAGGGCATAGCACCATCCAGAGTTTACCAGCCCAGTCACAGTTCTTACGGATATCATTAATAATTAAAGCTGAGACATTGTGGGTAGATGAACAGATCAAGTCTGAGCTTGTCTGGGCTGACACAGACCAAGGAGGTAGCATCTGGCAGAAGACCAGGTTGGTAAAGGTTGGGAGTTCAGATGGGCCCATCAGGTCCAGTTCAGATGACAGTGCTGAACTGAGCATCTCCAACATCATCTCTGACCCAACTGACAGCCATTTTGCACGCGTCCAATAATCTTGTAAAATTACAGCTCACATCTTTTCAACCTGGATCTCCCCCTTCTGGTTTTGGGATGAGCCCTGATTCCATCCCAAAAGAAGTGCTGGAAACTGAAGACCAAGATTCAGTTCTTGCCAGCCATCCCTCACGTTACATATACTGCCAACATGGCATTATCACTGATGTTACACACTCTGGTCACTGCTGGTTCCACAGGAGGAGAACAATGGGAGAAAATTAATGCAATATCCTCATGAAGAGAAAATCTCTTTTTGGTTCTTTTTTCCCCTTCTCACTCTTCCCTGAGATTTTTTGAACTGGACTGTCCTCAAGGTGAATGACCTAGCTGGCTTCCTCCAGCTCAGGCTGAATGAGGTCCAAGACCCTCAGCCTTTCCATGCTGATGAATCTCCCTCATCAATGTCCCTTCATAAATACCCTGCTGCAGGCATCACTGGCATTTCTAGGTGCCACATCTGAGCTCGCAAGGGGGGTGCCTTCTGCAGTGGGCTCTGACCAGTCATGGTAGTGTTTCCAGCATGCCTCACTTTGCTCCTTGCTGGGATCACTAGACGATGCAGTGCCTACGGGGTTAGGCTCCCTCAGCCCAAGCAAGCCTAATGCAGGCTGACATGCTGTGTGTGCTCTCCCCCAGTGTCTGCTAGATGGGCACTCAGATCTGAAGCAGCTCAGCCTAAGAGGACATTTTTAGATTTTTCTTGTCTTTTTTTTTCACTATCATTGGGCACCTTTTTACTCCAGCCCTCCCCTGGGTTTCTCTTTTATGCCTCCACATTTTTTATGCTGCCACATCAGCATTACTGCAGAGGGCAGGAGGTGTGGTGTGGTGCTGGAGGTTTCACTCCCAGCTCGTTTGTGTGCCTGTCCTGCTCGGAGGGGCTGCACAGCCACTGGATAAAGAGTATCCCTCCGGATGTGAAAGCCCAGATGCAGGCTGAGATACTCCAAGTCACTGTATTTACTGCAATTCAGTCCCTGCACAAAAAATCTGATTCACTTCAGTCTATTTCCCATGCGCTGGCACGTCGAATGACTAATTCAGAGCTGAGTTAATTCTGTAGAGGGGCTGGTAGAGTCACAATTGCAGACTGAGGGTGTGTTGGGTACTACATTAGTAGTACTAAATTAGGAGAGCATTGACTCAAAGGGTAGCAGACCATTACAAAGAAGACATGAACCTTGGAAAAAATTGCAAAGTATTGCTCTCTGTGGGGCATTTCAGATCCTTCTGCATCTCACCTTTTATTCCTTTGCTTTTGGTGACCAATGGTTTTGTTATTGCAGAGCTTGCCTTGAATTATTTTAAACTCCTTATTGACAGGAATTTATTGTATGTCTACATTATGCAAAGTAGAGTGGAGATATCTGCACTAGCCATAAAGGAACTAGCTTGTTTAGACTACTAGGAGTACAGCTATGCTACCCTTTCCAGGAATTAGTCTCTGGCAAAGCACAGAAAGCTGCGACTGCCTCCACGCTACACAGTATTACGCAACACAGATGTACCATTTGGGTCTATAATGAACTCTGGTTCAACCTCCCCTCTTCAGTGCATCCCAAACACTGCTGCTAAAGTCATTTCCTCTCCCATCCCTCCAGCCACAGTATCAGAGAGACTGTCTTGCTCTCCTCTTGCAGCATACAACCCTTGGTCTTCCAGGCTGAAGGTCTTAGGAATGCTACAAGTCTCTGAGAAGCATTTTGTGGGCTGGGGTGGGCACTGTGATGGTCCGTTCGGCAACTTTCCTGGAGCGCATGGCTCTGCTCTGGTCGCCAGCAACTGCGGGGTTGGATTCAGCAACCCGAAGGGTCCTCCATTGGCTTTCGTCTCCCTGAAAACTAACTCCCACAATCCTGTGCAGCTGCTCCTGCTTGCCAGGCTGCCACCTCCACTCACCCTTCTTCTTCTCTTCCAGGGGCCTTCCTGCACACTCCTTGGTGCTCCTGCCCTTATGCCTCATCACACCGTACTTATACTTCTCTGCCCCCTCCCTTCACACGCTCCTCCGGGAATGATCCTTCCTCCAGGAATTCCCATTTCCTTCTCTTTGCCAGTCATTCTCTTTGGCTGCATTTTCTTCCCTGAACTATTGCTTCATGTTTTTCCTCACACTCATTTATCTTGTAAACTTTGAGTTCTCTGCCTTGATGCCAAACCTCCATGGGAATTAAATGAATTAAGTATATATTTATTAGCACGAGGGGAGGGATGGAAAGGAAGGGGAGGGCAAGGAGGGAGGGAAATAGCTGGGCTGGTGTCAGAGCAGAATGATCCCTCTTTGACAGCCACAGGGTTTGAATTTTTCTGGATTTCTGGATCCCTTCCTCAGGCTGCCAGCTCCCAGAGCAGCTTACCCCACCTCCACGTACAAACATGTGCATCTCACTTCTGCCTGCTGCCTCTCCCACTGCAGAGACCCACTCTGCTCTTACCAAGGAATAGACAGAGGGGTGCTGTAAGGGGGCAGGCAGGAGCTCTCTGCTTAAGGTATGAGCAGGCACTGGAGGCAGTACAAGAGGTATGCAGCTGCTTGGGCAGCGGTGCCTGCTAGAACAGTATTTCCAATCGTTTCTGGACACAGGAGGCAGTGGGAGTAAGCCAGATGAAAGCATCCTTTAGGCCGCATTTGCTCAACACTGGTACATCTTCACCTATTGAAGGTCCACCCTCTAGACGAAATCACTGGAGATTTCAGAGCACACCTGCTTCTCCAGCCACCTTTACAAAAGTCCTCACAAAATGGTTGCATCTTTAGCAGCATCAGGCTGTGAAGGGCATTGCAAAATAGCCCTTTGCTCTAAATGACAGCTCTGAGATTTGTGCAGAGACGAAATGATTCTGCTAAGCTGGGCCAGAACGTTTTTAAAATCCATTCGATGTAATATATATATTGATATATTTACATTGGATGATGTATTTCTGACATTAAATTTCCATCAAAACTGGAGAAGGGCTCTGCGGTCCCCTGTTACAACCGCGATCGATACAGCCAGCGTGTTCTCTTCTCTTTTGTGGCCATCCTCCAAAAATAAGCAGCCTTGCCTGATGAATCATTTGCTCTTAGCTGAGTGTGAAGTAGCGTTACTGTTTTGCCTGTGACGTCTTTATGTTAAAGATTCTGATCAACTGCTTTAATCGACCTGACCTTTCCGCTCTCAGCTTTTCTTGTGGAGCCAGCAGTGTTTGCTGGCTCCAAACGTTAATTCCAGGGGGTTTGAAGGACATAATGCAGTGAGGCAGCTGAGACAGGGTAAATTGTCTAGCAAAGCTAAAAGGGGAGGTTTCTCTGAATAGGTCAGTAATTGTGCAGGTTGCAAAGGGAAGCTTTTCACACATTGCCTTGATTGCTGCCTTTGCACTGTCTATTCTGGACAGGGGGATTTGAAATCTTCAAGGCAGCTTCTCAGAGCAAGACTTGACAGATGTGCCATGTTTTAGATGTGAGTTCCTTCATATGGTGTTGGAGGGTCTGACTGCTTTAAAATCTTGGTTTGCTGATGATGACAAAAGGTGAGCTCCCAGCAACAGCATGAAATCTCAGCTCCACTCCCTTGCATGCACTTAACAACTCAGCATTTGCAAACCGGGGACTGAAGCTAATTCTCTAACATGTCAACCAGTCCTACAGGAAACAAAAGCATTTGCTCAACATCCTACCTACTGAAAAATACATGGCATTTTTCATATCATCTTGTAACGCTGGATGGCAAATCTAGCTCTGATCTTGCATGCAAGGAGGGAGACATAACCAGAGGCACACATGTAAAACATTTGCGAGCAGGAGCTACCCTTAGCCTAAGGTGCTTACTTTTTTTGCCTCCATTATTCAGGATATACTTATTCTCTTAACACCTACAGGAGGTTGGAAAGTACCTGCATACTGTTAAGCCAGGGAGATATTAAGTGATTTGTCCAAAATGACATGAGAAATCAGAGACAGAGCAAGGAGCTGAAGCCAAGGCCTTGAGCCTGTTAATCCTGCTAATGACAGGCTCAAGCCATGCTCCTGCGCAGCTGATTAAAGATATTTCATAACACAGAATTAAACATAATGATGGGTGAATTCATTCCAGCACCATGCCTGTAGCGTATTCCATTCGTGCCTCATGCCACCACGCAAGGTGGCTTTTAAGCATGCCTAAACTGGCTTCATACTTTTGCTCTGTTCTTGCCCAAGTTGATAAGCCTGCATCACACCCCATGCTGCCAGGCCTGGCTAACCCAAGATGGCCAAATATTGTGTTGCCTTCAACTGTATTATCTGCAATCTCGTTAACCCACAAATTAGGTAAACTATCCACAGATCACTGAAGGACGACTATAGTTTGTGTCTTCCATTTTGCAACAGTAGCTAGGATCTCATCCAAGTCCTTCCCAACAAGAGTACAGAGCTCTGTCTGCTCTGATTGCAAGGCCTTGATTACACAGCAAGCGAAAGCAGTGAAACAAACTCAAAAAAATATTAAAAGTCCAAAAATCATGGTTAGTGTCCTATTTCCACTTAAAAGAAGTGTACATTTCTTCTCCCCTTCCCCTTGCCAGCCTTCCTTTACTCACTCTCTCCCATCAAAGTGTATGCAGCTATATGGTATATATGGAATTGCCATATTAGATTAAACGAATGGTCTGTCTAGTACAGGACGGACCGCAGGCAGCTTCAGAAGAAGATCTTAGA